ATACATATTAATAAATGCTATTTCGCTAAATCTTATTCTGCTAAATGTTGTAAGGAAAAAATTTGAAATATTTTGGAGATCAGTTTATATATGAAATTATTTTGTCGCACAAGTATAGTTTCACAGATGATTTGTAGAGTATCACCTATTACATCATATGCACTTTAACGAGGATCAAAAACGTACTAATTTATATCGCATATGCTAACATGCATTGTGACTGGATAATATATTATTTTATTAAGACAATATTCAGGATCTGGATCAAGGACTGATCTGGAAAATTTGGCGTACAAACTCACAATTATCATCCAAATCTGAGAAATTCACGGTAACATCCTTTCTGTGAATATAGTATAGGAATTCTAATGGCAGGAATTAGCATATTCTTTGTATTTCTGTCGATTTATCTCTATATTTCTCGTAATCTAAAATTCTGATGATGTTTTCAAAGTTATATTTTTTATTAATATGATAATATTTGGAATTATGTAACCATTTTAACATGTCAGACCAGCCTGTATTTCTAACAACTATATAGCCTTGCTGATATAATACTCTAAAAGTAGCTATGTATACTACAGTACATAATCGTCTATATAACTGATTTTTCTTTGCTTCTACCAAGTATCAGCAAAATAAATGTTATGCTTATTTTCTACATAAAATTGGTTACTCACATAATATTAGTTTTCTATTAATGAAATAATATGTTTTACTACAAGGAACAATATCTAAAAATTTCTTATCATCAGAAGTACCATCATTCCTCACCGTCTCCCAAACCTGTTTTACTAAAGATTTGGGTCTTTTTTTGTAATTCTTGTAAGCTCGCTGGATAACTACTACATAGAAATTCTCAAACTGATAGTTGTATTGTCTCGCAATCAAGAATCCTCAAGATCGTTTCATTGATCTTCCTGAACTTCTCGAAAAATACTTTATTAAAATAGTTATAGATTTGAAAATCTAATCTAGAATAGGTAGATCATGCATAGTGTCTGCAGGTGATACATTTCATACATAACATCTTCAACCAATTTTACTAGGCGGATCATACACACAGATTATATAGCTATAATTTCGCAAAAAAATAAAGTATAAGCTATATTTGACTAAATATAATTAAGATACATAATGCTAATATTTGGTTGAAAGATATTGCGAAATGCCTTATTGGCTAATAGCTAAGTCTATTTTCTTTCTGCATTTTCCGCACAGAATCAAAATATGCTTTAATAAAATCGTCCAAAGTAGTTCTGCTAGAAATATTAGATATATTTGATCGATCGTTCCAAAGATTTCTAATCTCAGATGCACTTGCACTATGTTGCCTGGTAGGTGAAATACAAGTTGGCTCGAATTTTGTAGCACTTGGCATAGTATTTTCTGCTATAGTCGCTTTAGCTTGCGCATAAGCTTTATAGAGAATTATGTGAGTATTATAATCATATGATATCGATGCCAATTTATTCTTTTCTGAGTGTGAAGTAGATTAGGAGAAAAGCTCTAAACAAAGATGATTAATTTTAGCCTCTTCTTGTAATATGTATTGTTTATATTGCCAGATCTGAAATTTCCTTCTATCAATAGATTTGAGAATTTCATTTTTTCTTGCATGTTCATTTGAAATAGTATTTCTAGAAATACATCTTTTCAAGTGGCTATCTTGATAGGAATTATCTAAACGAGAATTTTCAGATATGAAAACTAAGGAGTCACATATACTACAATATATATAATTGGATGGAAGACCATAGACTCTATCACTTCTTTCAATTAATTTTCCATACATTGTAATGTATCCATTCCCAGAAAGGATTCCTAGGTTCTCTTTTAGAATTTTTCCATATGGATCATGAATGCGAGAGCACCACATTTTCAGTATTTTGTGATCACGTATTTTTGTTAAAGGCTATATTGCTTCAACTATTCTTCTATATTTTTCAAAGTTTATATCACCATAGCTTACTTGATTTAGCTTAGAATAAGTTCTACTATCTAAATCTATATTAGTATTTTAATAGATTATAACAGATTATAACGATTTTATTGATTTTATTGATTTTATAGTGTTTTTAGCAATTTTAGCCAATTTAGCAATAGTTTACTCTAATAAATATCAGATTCATTTTATTCAGATTTACTGGTTAAGAAATTTATAGCAGTTTTAATGCTTTATACTGACTTTATTGATTTGTAGCCGATTTAGAGAGACTATACACTACTAAATCCAAATTTATTTTTATTCGATTAGAATTTATATAGGGCCATCTCTCAGGCTAAGCTAATTTTATATTTACATATATGCATATGCACAACGCTTTACAAAGTACATTAATGGCTTGGCTAAATTGGTTTGTGACATGATGTACTGTATATTGTATCATATGAGATCTCTCTAGTTCCTAGTCAGTTTTTAGCACTTTTTCGCAATCTTCTCGCAACTCAAATCACGGGATGAGTTACAGATCAGCATTGTAGTGTCAATCAGATTTTGCGCAGTAGCTAAGCCACCATCATTATTCGATTAATCATTTTATTAATCATTATATTTTTCAGCCTTAATATAATTACGACGCTAATTTATTTACAGCTTATTTAAATCATGTCTATAGATGCCTGCCGAAACTTCCTCAAAATAATTTCGTCATATCCTTTTCTATGTTTTTAATATAGTTTCGACAGTTTCAGCTTTCGTCGTATCGAATGGATTTCGTCGTATCCTTATTATGATTTTAATATAGTTTCGTCTAAGTTTCGACTGTTATTAAGGGGTTTCGTCCCTCATCTATAATCATGTCACATAAAAGCAAGCCCTTCTTGCTTACCCTGCTACCTCACCTCTTCAATAAAACTTTTTCTTATTCGTAAAAATGTCTCTTGAGTAAAATAATGAATAAACCCACATTCTCATCGATGAACACAAAAATGGTAATGGGGAATATCACCAAACTCCTAAACACAATAAGAGAATCTTCTGAGAAAAAATAGCAGAGAAGCTCAACGAAGTTAATAATTCGAATTATTTTACCGGGGAAGCTTGCAACAAAAAATTTTTAAGTTTGACTTGTGCATATTATGTAAACTTATAGTTTATTTGCTAAACCCGACCAGTCGAATTGAACTATGATTTGAATTTGCAGAACACTAGCAGATATTAACTGTCTCTGATCTAATTCCTTTGTTTACTTAGATGACTAAAGCCTATTATGAAGGAACTAAAAGTAAGAGGAGTCTTGTCAGTGAATAATATTATGAGGAATTCTTCACAGAATTCTGGAAAGAACCCGGTAATTAGTTTTGTGATATTCTTTTGAATAAAATGAGAAAAAAAGAGATTGAGGGATATTTATTGTTTCTAGGAGCACAACGTCAATCATCATCCTCTACGAGTGTAGCTAATAAACAATTGTCTTCTGAGAATTTGAATCATTTCGAAATAGGATCTGATACTTCTTCTTCCTCTTCACATAAAAAAACCAAATCATCAAGACCAGTAACGCCTTCTATTGAAACTCCTATAGTCTCTAGATCTGTTACTCCCACTCTCCCCTCGTTCTCTTAAAATGCTAATATAATTAATGTCATTATTAATTATGGCGGTGCACGAGAAGAGGATTAGAGTTTTTTTTTCATTAATTTAGTATAGTAAATTTAAAAATTTATTGTTTTATCATGTGGTATTGAACACAGTAGAAAAAACAAATGTTATATAATAAAAGACTTGAGGATTATGCTACATTGCAGATTTGCAGTAATATAAATAAATTATTTACTATATATGGGCTAAAGAGTATTTTGTTTTAAAATTTCTTCTAGCAAGTTCCAGTTATAATTTCGCGATCACAAGTGGGATATGTTCAGAAGTATAAAAACCCCTCCTTTCGCTCATCATAATATTTTCCCGTAAATTACTTCTCAAAAAATAATACTAATAGAATCAGAAAGATTCAATAACACTCCTCCGCGTGTTTCATTGACCATTGAAGAAAATATATTTGGGCCTCAATACGAAAGTATACTCAACAGAAGTATCCCTTATCATAAGATTCAACTCACCGCACCTACCAATTCTTAAGGGGAATCCGAAATATGTTCTTTGTGTAATAAACCCGATCCATTATTCAAACCTAGTAGAGCTAATCTGGAACCAGTCGTGAGATTGTCCTGTCTTCATAGCTTTCATCTTAGATGTATTATTATTTCCTTAAAAAAAGATATGACATGTTCTCATTGTCAATGACTTATTTATCTTGGCGAGGATGATGATGCAAGGTTAAATCTTCAAGAAGAAGAAGATAGGGTTAAAAAATTTTTTAAAGAGTTATCCAACAGATCACAAAACTTTAATCCATTACCGGTGACAAATGTGAAAACAGGGAACCCACAACTCCAGATATGGTGTTCGTCAAATTACACAATAAAATACTTGATGCTGAGAAGATTCTTAAAGAAAAAACACGTGAAGTATCCCACGCAGAATATGAAATTCTTGACTCACTCTATCCTCTCAAGGAAGCATTGGAGAAGAAATTGGCTGAATTTTCATCCATTCACCCTCTTCAAACTGCGCGAATCTTCCTTAATGCAGAAATTAAGTGACAATTTCCCTTTGACATGTCTCGTAACATCTTTAACAAGAAAAAACGCTCAGCTAAAAATATTTACAACATATTCAAAACAGAAGGTTTAGGAAAAGTCGAGATCAAGCGAATTAGGAGAATTTTACTATCAACTTTTGGAAAATTTACTGATAAAGAAATAAAGATCATTCAAGAAAGAATTAGAGTGAATTATTTTCGACTAAATTGGCTTAAAGATCAATTCAATGATTTAGATCTAAATGAGAAGGGGATACCAATGCAGACTGATTGAATAATATTATTAGTCAGCGCTATGTATATTTACATATATATAGATTCTAAAAAATAATTCCGTGGTCTCATAGAGACCCCTCTAATTTATTTTTTGATGTAATAGAAAGCATTAGCCCAAACATATTTACATAGATTCTAATATATGATCTGTTTTATTTTTATATGTAATAGAAAGCATTAGCCGAACATATTTACATAAATTTTAATAAATGATCTGATTTATTTTTATTTTTTTTATGTATGCTTAGTTCTAGTAATGCTATTTATAATATGATACATATATTTCGTGTGACACTTATAACAGTATATGGGTAGAGAATCACTTGACACTAATCCCAGAGGGAGCAATATCATATGACACTTACAACAGTAAAGGATCACTTGACACTGAGCCCAGAGGGAGTAGTATCATATGATACTCACAACACTATATGTGTAAAGGATCACTTAACACTAAGCCAATATAGTGTAGTAATGACGTACTACTGCGCATATATCAGTGCTGGATTACGTACTGCACATGAACATATAGCAAAAAAAAAGAATAAGCCGAAAATCAAATCGGGTAAGAATGTAATCAACTATAATTATTTCTATGTATACATGAAAATCACGTGTTTGCCAATAATATTTTTTATTAATAACTGCCGGAATAATTTTTTATTGATCGACAGCATTTCATAAGATCTTGACTTCATTAATACAAAAATAGCATATATTAACCATTATTACAAAAATAGCACATCTAGATCTAAAATAGGAGCACTGCGGAAACATAAATTTTTCGTTCAGGTGATCGGTCTCACATGACGGAGTTTTCGTCTATGCTTTTACAGATACTATTGGGATGTCAGGATTAAGAGCTTCCCTGCATTCGAGCCAATAAGTTCGTTCTCCGTAATATTCACCAGCACCCCATTCACCTCTTATATCATTCCATATACTTTTTTCTTTATGCTCTCCATTACATAATGGACAGAGTGTTGAACTATTAAGATTAAATCGCTCACCACGTTCACTACTATCGCTTAAAGATAGAGAAGGAAAACGCTCTAACACCAACCCAATGATATGTTTTCGTTTCTCTTCGGGGTCTTCAGGCAAGATAGAAATCGGGAGTCTGGATTTGTTAGATGACCTCCCCCCTGATGCTCGAAGCCAGAAAAAAAAAAATCACATGGCGAAAATTGAGTCTAATGCTTTCAGAAAAATATTTCAATCATATCTAAGGCATATGTAAATTGTATTTTTTTTATTGGTAACAGCGAATGCATCACATGTGTAACATACATGATTTAAAAGAGACGAGCCTAAACAAATAACAGATATCGATGTAGTAAGTAAAAAAAGTGGGACTACGGTGTCTCAGGTGCAGTAATATGGCGCATTATAATCAGTTTTATTTCATAAATAGCATTGGTCATCACATAATGTAAATCGATATAAAATCACTGTCTCAGGAAAAAAAAGTTGCTAACAGTTCAACTATTTTGATTGTACCGATGTCAGAACGGATCAGTTCTAGTTCTTTTTATTTTGTTCCTTCACTTGAAAAGTAAGAGAAATAGTATGAGTAATGAAGACCCTTCCTCCGTATAATTAATCCTTTATTGTTGTAGTTACTCACCTAATTTCTCCTTGAGCTCCTCAATTAACTCCATTATTTCCTCTGCAGGACTAGGTTTAAGCTCATATAGACCAGGTTTGCGAGTAAGTTTTTCTTCGGTTAAGCGGAGAAAAGCTTTACCGGTAAGGTCTTGCTTTCGAACTTTCTTAATATCATCATCGTTGAAATCCGATCCATTCATGCGAGACTCGAGGAATTTTTTAACCTGATCAGGTGACCACTTTTAGCATCATCGGGGAGTTTATCATCTTCAGACTCCAAATCAATCTTTTCTCTCTTTTTATCTTGGTTTTCCTCCGGTTGTTCAAGAGCTCGTTTGTGAGTAATTTGATTACTGGTACCAATCTGCACTCCACCATCACATACAAATACATTATCCGTACAAAGAACTCGAACTTTTTCTCTCTCGTTATAATCGTCACGTACAAGGTCCCAGTATTTTCTAAGATAATCTTTATGTTTCTTCTGAACTCAAGAAATGGTTAGTTCGATCTAGCAATTTACCATAATTATCATATATAACACTGTAGCGAAGAGTCTAGTGATTAACCTCCTTAATCCAAAAGATGCAACCTAAAAGATTGTCAGAGTACCATCTAAAAGTGTACTCCTAGTCCAAAAAGACAGTGATCGAAAAGATCAGAATACCATCTAAAAAGCGTATTCCTAGTCCGAAGACAGCGCGATCTTAAAATATCGTCAGAGTACTATCTAAAAGTGTACTCCTAGTCCAAAAGACAGTGATCGAAAAGATCAGAATACCATCTAAAAAGCGTATTCCTAGTCCGAAGACAGCGCGATCTTAAAAGATCGTCAGAGGCACAAAAAGTTTCCTAGGCTCTTTGCTACAGTGCACATATATACTAACCCGATGAGCCAACAAAAAACCGGCCTTCCTAACTTTTTCAATATCTGAACTTTTATTCGTTATTGCTCGAAGACTTTTGAAGAATGCGTCTGTTGCTTTGTCATAAGAGAGCTTTTTGTACTCATCTCTATAAGTATGAGCCCAGGACTCATGAAAAGGAAGAGTGCCCCAATCCTCGACGTTAGTCTCATCAAAGTACTTATTCCACGTTTTGGCCATGACTGAAATCGAAAAGCGGAAATGTGAAAAAAAGTGTAAACACGAAATCGGGTTCAATAAGAATCAGCCAGCACGAGTTTGTACTCACGCCCCTTTTCATTCGGCAAGAATTTTACCGAATATCTTCTGCGCATTTCATGTGATCGGCCCACATGACGAAGTCTAAGCCACAATCGCGAACCTGAATTTATTGCTTGACATATCCGGTTATCTTAACGGATATCCGCTAAGACCAGATATCCGGATAAACCGTTAAATCTTGTGTTATTTCCGTACTATAATGTATTAACTAAATGCAATTAGGTTACAATTATAGTAATCCAATCGGCAACTAAATATTAAAATTGACCGATACAATTTTTTTTTGGCGTGAAATTTTTAATTTATCACTCGAAGAAAATGAATTTGAACGTGTATATTATCGAAATTCGTTTTACCAACTCATGA